ATTATAAGCTGAATAACCAGTCTTTCACACTTCAGACAAATACAGTTTGATACTATTATATGCCCACTTACAGAATCTAGAAGCAAAAGTATTTCATATAATTATAACCTATAATTTCCTGTAAAAATAGTTGTGACAATAATAAGCAACCGCGGGTGCTAATAAAACGTAACTAATAAACTTGTTAGATAATATGAAAATCCTCGTCATTGTGTTAATATAGTGATAATATTATTTTTGTATTTTGTGTGGGACATTATGTTTGTAAATAATGATTCTATTAAAATGTCTTACATACTACACTGACATGTTTAGGATCATCACCATCTCGTAGTGTCTCAGAATAACCATCTGAAGACACTTTATGCAAACATGTCTGAATTTTCTGGAAAACGTCACAAGAATTTAATGTATTATTCTGTGATTACTATTTGAAATTAGAAACTGAAATTTAACTTTATATATATATATATATATATATATTTATATAATTCGACTTTATATACATATATACATATATATATATAATTTGACTTTATATATATATAATTAGTTTAAACGAAAATAGAAAGCAAATTTTCAGACAAGTATTGCATCAAAGCATGCTGGTGGTTAGGGCGGTCGACTCGCAACCTGAGGGTCGCGGGTTCGAATTTCCGTCACACCGAACACGCTCGACCTTTTAGCTAATAATAAAATATGTATAATGTGACGGTCAATCCCATTATTCGTAGGTAAAAGAGTAGTCCAAGAGTTGGCGGTGGGTGGTGTTGACTAACTGCCTTCCCTCTAGTCTTACACTGCTACATTAGGCTGGGGCAGATAGCCCTCGTGTAGTTTTGCGCGAAATTCACAACAAACAAACAAACAAAATGAAATCAAAGAAGTTCATTTAATAGGAACACGAATTTTCTATTTAATTTTTTTATAAACTGAATATCATACTCAAATTTTGTTTTTCATTTACAACTATTGAGAAGACAGGTTTGTTAACCATTTTAGTGCTAAAATAATTGTAAGTGAAAGTTGAATATTATCTAATTAAGTATTGACAATACAATGTTTAAAATAGAATTACCGATTTCGCAAAATTGAAACTTTAGTAAACAAATTATTATTTGTTTGGTTGTTTTGGATATTTACGCAAAACTATTAAAGATCTATCTTCACTAGTCGTTCCTAATTTTGAACTGATAAACTAGAGACAGCTAGTCAACAGTACCCATCGCCAATCCTTTAACCGTCTGTTTTATAACGCCTCTAAGTGCAGAACGCAATTTTTTTTTATTTTTGCGGTAATGGAACGCAAACCTTGAGTCCACGGATTAACTTCCGGCACATTGACTACTAGGCGACAACTGGCCCACTACAAAGTAATATTTAACCAGAAACAATCTTAATTATGTGTTGTTGTTTTTTCTAAAATTACAACAATTCTGTTTTGATAGCTTGGGAAAGTTTCATAGTTTTCTGTTTTATTATGTTTCACACAACTCCCAATAAGGATATGATTGTTTGTTTGTATTTTTAATTTCGTGCAAAGCTACACTATGGCTATCTCTGCTAGCCGTCCCTTATTTAGCAGAGTAAGACTAGAAGGAAGGCAGCTAGTCATCACCAGTTCTGTCTTCCTTTTATTGACTTGGTGATTTATAATGATAAGGCAGATAACGTAATTATTAATTAATAGTCCATAAAAGTACAGGTAAAATACGTCGTTATATAATATTGAAAAGTAGATACACTTAAGAGAAACATGTACAGTTGGTGTGATTCAACGATTAGAGCTATAAGCTGTAGCATGTCTTTGGATTATCGCCAGGAGGTTTGAAAGCAGGAAAGGTATGTTGTATGACAAATGTATCATATTTATTAAAAAACGTATAGAATTGCATGATAAACTATTAAAAAGCAAGCCTTGACCTAAATCTAATTAGTCATTTGTTGTTGTTGTTGTTTTTATCAATAAGACTGCTTTTTAATATGGGCATTTATGAGTGTGTCTTTAGTGAATGATAATAATACACTATACACGTGTAAAAAATGTAATACACCTGTTTTCGTATGCACGCTACATGGTTTGTTTGTTTTTTTTGGTCTGAATTTCGCGAAAAGCTACACAAGGGCTATCTGCGCTAGCCGTTCCTAATTTAGCAGTAAAATATCAGAGGGAAGGCAGCTAGTCATCACCACCCACCGCCAACTCTTGAGCTACTCTTTTACCAACGAATAGTGGAATTGGCCGTCACATTATAAGGCCCCAAGGCTGAAAGAGCGAGCATGTTCGGGGTGACAGGGACGCTACACGAGTGATATAATATAGTCATTAATATTAATGAACATTACTTTTGTGATATACAAATATCGTAAACTGAACTATTCTATAACGACTATCTTTACTCACACAATTTGAATACTAAAGGTCTCCGTGCTTAGTTGCAAGTACGGTTGTGACCCGTACAGATTTAATAAGGACAGTGTAGATTTTAAGGTATGTGACCCGTGTGCCGCCTTGTGCTCATCGTTACGCTTAAATGTACTGATTTTTTATTTAGACAATAGGAAATCATACAAAGTAAGAATTGAAATTATTTGATCTAATTTTATCATAACTTCTTTTTAACGCGGAGACGGCTATATTACATGTTTACAACTTCCTTTTGCTCAGTAGTAAAAATTATACTTTCTAATTAGACTAAATCAGTCAACGATGGAGTGCAGCAATGGGAATCACGGAAACGGCTAGCAGACGAAATCTAACACTTCGAGTGGAGTGTTTATAAAACAAAAACAATCTCGTTGCTCTCGATAATCAACTTTATAATTAAATTCCTGTGCTATTTAACCATGTGGTTGCAGCCAATATTAAATTGAATACGTTGTTGCAATATAACGGTGTTTTTTCAAACTTATGAATACGTGCTCAATTTTGAACTTTGCTAACTTGTCACTAGGCACTGTCTCTTACGTGCAAAGGCTTAGCCTGGGACTTTTCACACATGGGCTGTTGGCTAGATATTTCCTTGAGCTGGTATCAGTGGATATTCTGTCATATTTGTTATATATGAAGAAAGACATTTAAAAAATTCCGAGTTCGCCTTCCTGTTAATAAAGCTTGCCTGGTAACGTAACATCCCGTGAAGTTCTGGTGGGAACTGTAATATAAATATAAGCAAATTAAGTTCTAAAGCATAGGTTTATCTTGTTTCTTGTCCTGAGATGTTCTTCAAATCATATTTGGTATTCTCCAGTGCAGTTATTTACTTCTGCTCAATTACTCTTACAGAGAAGTCAACTTTAAGTAAAAAAAAATAAAAATAAGTTTGCCTCTCCTGAACACATTTGAGGATATAGTGTTAACCTGTTGACTTTGCCAATAGAAGTGTTCTGGGTGTAGTACTAACCTGTTGACTTTGCCAATAAAAGTGTTCTGGGTGTAGTACTAACCTGTTGACTTTGCCAATAAAAGTGTTCTGGGTGTAGTACTAACCTGTTGACTTTGCCAGTAAAAGTGTTCTGGGTGTAGTACTAACCTGTTGACTTTGCCAGTAAAAGTGTTTGTATTTTTAGAAATCTGCTTGTTGTTTCATAAAATCTCTCTCTCTAAATAAATTATCCGAACACCTATTTTTCAGAGTTAACATTTCACCTGTCTGGACCAGTTTTTACCCAAATAATACCACACTTTCATAAATACGTGGAAATTTCCCTCAAATTTCATAATTTATTTTAAAAAATAAGCTTGCTGTAACAGTCGGGTAGTATATCATTGCCAAACAATTCGAACCCTATATCTATAGGGATATAACTTGGTATATAGAACATACATTTATTGAATTTGGCCTTAAGAAGCATTAAGTGTACATATTTCTTTTATTAAAAGATAAGGTTAACTAAATAACACATTAACTATTTTTAAAGTGTTTTATCCGACATAACGCTGAAGAATTTCTACCTCGACAGTATTTCAATTGTGAACAGTAATTTACTAAATATATCTACTTCTTACAAACCTGTTATCGACAGTGCTAATCTGAAGTTATTCATCACATGAGCTTGGATTATCTTAATGTGTTTTAAATACACATAAGATTAAAGAAACAGTAGAGTAAGAAGATGTTTAGCACTGTAATGGGGGGGGGCAACAGTGGCCAGGTGTGTCCCACCCTGCAGCAGCGTGGGGGCAACAGTGGCCAGATGTGTCACACCCTGTAGCAGCAGACTGGTAGCAAACAGCATGACCTCCACTATATCATAAAAATTATAGCTTTTATAACTCCAGAAACCCAAATCATTTTTGAAACATTGTGGGGGGAAGCAAAATATATGTCGGTCCCCCTAAAATAGCGTTCGCGGCCAGGTCACTTTGTCCCTAGTCCACTGAGAGAGAAATGTACAATATAAGTCAGTCTTGAAATGTGGCCCTGTAAAGCGTGTTCTAGATGAATATGAACTTTTCATGAATCCCAAACAGTTGAACACTACTTGGTGAATATGCGTAGGAAGTTGTTGTTGCAGTATTGGAAAACCTCCTATGTACACTGTACATGTTTAAAGATGAGACTATGTGGTATTTTTCTGAAAATGTTTGACGAATCAGTCGTAAGGTATGTAACTTTCTATCTTATTATTGCTATAACTGTACTTGGTGGCATTTTTGGAGAAATAGTATATAGTGGTTTATAAATCGCAGTTACGGGTTATGCATGCGTGCGAAATGGCATAGAATTTCGATAAAACAATAAAGACAGTCATTTACACGTTAATATGTGTTTAAACATATTAATAAAACCAGTACGTGCATAGCACTCCTGTGATTCAAGACAGAGAGGAAGGAAATATATTAGTTATAATACTTAAATTTCTTTTCACCCTGGTTATCGTTTTATCGTTTCCCTCTTATAATTGGAGCTAAATAAGCCCTTCAAAGTGAAAATTTGAAACAAATGATTCTTGAGTTGGTGTACTGCAATTAAACACAGACTGTGGACGATGAAACATCACTGAAGAACTGAATCGGCTTTATTTTACATAAGCGTGGACATAACATCGTAACTCCAGATGTTTTGAAAATTGAAACAAAAATACCAAACTTTGAAATGTGAATCGGACAGATACGATAATTAGTTATATATTCCACATATTAGTTGAAAATAAAAATTAATATTTAAGGCATTTAGGTACAAATGTTACAGATATTACCTTATACTCAAAACATGAACTGGTGTGAGATTTTACACAATTAGATGTGACAGTAATCTTTAATAGATAATCTCAAAAAATGATTTAATACATTTGTTAAAAAACGCATTATGTCTCAATCGTTTGTCTAAAATATAGTTTATTTCTCGCGATACCTGAATTGCACACTAACAAACGTGCTGCGACGGGACTCCACAACTGGAGGGAGGAGAGGCCTATGCTAAACTTCTCTATCGTGCAAATACGCTACCTGGACTGCGTACTGCCAAACGTTCTGCGAGGGGACTCACAAAAGTAATGAGAAGAGGCTTGTGCTAAAACTCCTCTAGCGTGTAAGTAGAACAAAGTGTATTCCTCACTTTATTTTGACAGCGCACTAACAAACGTGCTACGAGGAGAGACCTCTAGCGTGTAAATAAAATAAAGTGTATTCCTCATTCTACCTAATAAACGTAATGTAACGGAACTTCACTGGCTTTCTGAAAAAAAAAAGAAGTGAAACATGTCACTGATGTTATTGACGAGATTTTACTGTGACTGAAATACATTAACTGTGAATGAGAAACTTTTTATATTGGATATATGTGTGGTCTTTCTTCTCATACATCTTTGTAAAAATAATAAAACCCGGTTTTAGTAAATATATTGCTGCCTAATTAGTGTAGGTTACCATTATATATAGAAACTTATTAGGAAAAACTTGTATCGTCACATAATAAAGATTATTTTATAGTTATAGACATTCGCATATTACAGCAACATTAACTGCAAATAAACAATAATCAAGGCCATTCAAGTTATAAAGCTTCGACAATGCATAAAAAATCTTCCACTCCCAGTGGTTTAGCCGTAATCTAGCAATGTAACAAAAAATTACTATTTATTTATTTTTTTGAAAAAACCCTGTCCGTTAAAATCGGGGGGTATTTTACCTCTTCAGTTAAACGCTCATAATTACTCTTAAATCAATGGTCGTTTAAAAAAACATTGAGGAAAATTTACTCCTAAACTTTTAGAGTGTCGGAAAGGAATGAAATTGTTGAGCCCCTTTTAATCCTTGGTGTAATTGTTACATCACTAGCATTATATGACGTCATCGTAGTCACTGCACTCAAGGTTTTTTTCGACAAATTAAAAACATCAGCGTATAAAGTTTAGAAATCTATATAGCAGTTCCTTTAATCGAAACTTCGAAGTTACTATTTCGAAACTCGAATACAATTTTTGAGAGCATTTATAATTATTCAAAAATAACATGGAAATATTTTAAAACCAAAATTTCAAATATCCTCTCAGTTTGAAATCTAAAATTTCCGATATTTTTGTGAAAATGAAAAATTAATTTTCCGAAAATGAAGTATTAGTAACAGAAGCTGAAGAAAAACATAGATCTGTAAACAAGAACAAGCAATGTTATTGATAAAACTAAGAACCAACCTTTTCTCTAAACTAGAACCACGAGACAGAAGCTGAAGAAAAACATAGATTGTAAACAAGACCAAGCAATGTTATTGATAAAACTAAGAACCAACCTTTTCTCTAAACTAGAACCACGAGACAGAAGCTGAAGAAAAACATAGATTGTAAACAAGACCAAGCAATGTTATTGATAAAACTAAGAATCAACCTTTTCCCTAAACTAGAACCACGAGACAGAAGCTGAAGAAAAACATACATCTGTAAACAAAATCAAACAACGCTTATTAGACTGAAAACTCACAATACAACAAGACAGTTTTTGAGTAAGTGATAAAAGGTAAACACTATTGGATTTGATTATACACTTTGTTAGTTAGAGGGTGATAGTATCTTTATATATATAAGTGTTATCGGTCCATCGTTTAAACCAAATTTCAAAACTCCACCAGTTCTGACGGTACAACTCGATTCAGTTCTTTGCTCAAAAAAAGGGTCTCCCACTTTGAAAGTGTACTCGCTTTGATAGTACAAACGTACGTGCAACGTTGAATTTGTAGTTACGTGGTGTATGTGTAATACGCCTTATAAAAGACCATACTTAGTCTCTGAATGATAAACTTACTTCATAATACAAGGTGGTGTAATACCCTAATGTCGGGCGCTGCCCAGTGGTTTAATAAAATTCAGTCATATAAATATTGCACCCCTTACTTTGTGGCCTTGGGCGCATTATAAAAGTGTGGGCTAAATCCCATTATTCAATCAAAAAAGAGTAGTTCAAGGGATGGCGCTGTTGATTAACTGTCTTCAAAAAGTCTAACCTCAAAATTAAGAGCGGCTAGCGGTGATGACCCTCGAATAGCTTTATATGAAATTCAATAAACAAACAAAAACACCACCCTTGCAATAAATTTCTAAGTCACATTTGTGTTTTACGTGTGGAAATCTTATTATTATTGTAAGAATGTATGAAAGTGATCCTGTTGTTTAAGATGTGTAATGATATCAACGGTACACATTTTGAACAGTTGTTACATGTAAAGGTAAGGCTAAAAAAATACATCGTAGTAACGCGCTCCTTTTGCATTACCTTGTATTTGCTAGAGATATCAAAACACACATACAGCTCTTGGTTTTCCCGTCTATTGTAGCTAGATAAACTAGTTGTGCAACTGAAAAAAAAAAGAAATCGGAGAATTTTTACTGATGTTGTATCACATCCACGTGATTTTATATTTCCAGTTGTCATGTGCTAGAAGTACTTTAAACCAATAACGTCGGATTTCACAATATCCTTAGCTACGTTTTCAGTATGAAACATTTCTCGTGGTTTTTCCCAGACTCTCGGTGCTCGGAGTGCTGTTTGAATGCAGAGGGCGTCGTTATCGTATCTTGCTCCCTGTAATATATGTAAATATATATACATATATATATATATAATATAAACTGAAGGTTTAACTAAAATAATGAAAACAAGCTACACTTTATATCACAGTATACGAAATTAAAGTATTTCCTCTTTATAATAATATACGCATAAATTATTTGTTTTATGTTTAAAATGTGTGTGTTTGGAAATTTCAAGGCCTGTCGGGCTTTTTAATGTTGACTCCTGTGGTGTAATAAGCTTGTATTTTCAGCATTTGTTTTTCCTGTATCAAGTGCTACATCATCGTGAAATTGTGAATTTTTTTTTTCAACAAAAGTGTGTATTGTCACTACTCTAAAGCATTAACTGATACTAAATCATTCAAAATATAAAGGTATTGATAAGCATGTTTTAGTACAGGTTTCATTTTTTTTTTTTCAGTTTATGATTCTTTACTAAATGTAATCTTACATGGTAAAAAAATACATCTATGTCCGTGCGGAAATAATCATTTTGAATTCGAAGCTTTAGGGAAATATACATCCTGTTTACCTTCTTTAGCTAAATACTTGAATACGTCTGTACTGTATGAACAACAAAAAGTGTGTTTACAGTTCAACGAATATTTCAATCTATTGTTGCTTCTGTGAAGATGTATTTTATTGATAAAATGATTTTAATAACTACACAAATTAAAGATACTACAACTTTAAATATTTAATTAAATAATCCTCAGAACCGTACTCTTTTTTTTTATGTTTTGCTTCTTAGTGGCTCAGCGGTAAGTTTGTAGGCTTATAACGCTAAAAATCTGGTTTCGATGCCCGTGGTGGGCACAGCACATATAGCACATTGTGTAGATTTGTGCTTAACTACAAACAAAACTATACTTTGCATGAAATTTAAAAGATGTTTAGGATAATAAGTCAAGGTTATCTTCACATAACTTAGCTAACAAATATAATTATTGTTGTAATACTCCTAGACCTTCACAACTACTCTGATAGTTAGATAACAACTAATTGTATTTAGGTCAATAAGCTTTTACTTTAATCACTTTAATGCTATTACTAATCCAAAACGTCGTGATACAGTGGATTCAGTTACATTGGAAACATCTTTTATTCAGCGCACTTGAATAAAGTAGGCTGAAAACGTTACTTTTTTAAGGATAAGCATACATCAAAACAAAACAAGAACAGATGTAATTTAACTTGTAAGATTAGAATTATGTTAACCTAAAACGCACTTTTGTGCCAGTTGTTCTATTTAACTTTTCTCAATGATATAGATGAATTTCATTATTTTTTACGTACCTTTCCAGCTTCTGGGCCACGCACTTGTAGGTTTGTGGCTTGATGGTTTCTTGAAAGATTTCTCGGAACGCTAATGCTTAAAGCTAAATTATCAACAACTCCAGGTGCTAGCTTGGGTACGTGAGCACGACAGTAAACGTTTCCATCATTTGAATTTCGCTGATTTGTGAAAAATGTCTGTAAAGCTAATTTAAGATCACATATTTTGCATTTGAAACATCTCATGTGATAGCTGGTCGTTTGATTTGGTTGGATTTTTTCTGTAGGATAAACTGGATCCTGGCAGCGGAAGCAGATATTCGAATGAGTTAACATTCTGTTATCAGGCGGTACTTGATGATCAGAAGGTCTGATGACGAGGGAATCACTATGATCTGACACCATTGTTGAAACTCCAGAATCGTTCACAGTTTCCATCTGGAATTCGTCTAATTTTCACCAATAAAAATATATTTGGTTCTTTATGACTATGGAGTTTAGGTGGTTTGATATACTACTCATGTAACTACTGCGTAAACTGTGGATAAAATTTCTAAGATTTTCCAAAATTTTCAAGTTTAAGTCCGGTGAATTAGCTGTAACTATCTTATCTGTTATTGCAGCGATAACAGTTTGCTAATGGTCATTTTCTCGCTTGGGTTTCTATTTATTCAGATTAGATGTTCTGTATCGGACAGTCGTAAGTCACTTCCTATTCTTATAGTCTATAATCGAGATTCTACTGGAGGCCAGAATACTTATTTCGCTGTCCGAGTAATAAGGTAACGTCAACAGGCCACGCTCAAGTCCTTTCAACCTAGTTTTGATACGGTGCGAGAAAGCTCACGCTGTCATATAGCTTGTTGTTGCGCAAGAGCACGAGGAAAGCAATGCGCGCCACGTGCACTGATTGGCAGAAGATGTTAGGAGAACAAAAGATCACGAAATTTGTTATAGCTCGTTTAAAAATAAACCGATCTCACAAACAAATATATTTCGTCAACTCTTACTCTTCAATAATTGATATTTTGTTTGCACAGGAAACGTGCATGATAAGTTTCACTTTTGCGTGTGAACAAAAACTATGGCCTAATTTATGACAAAGACAGAGCAAAAAAAAATAAGAATATCACTGTAATATTGGGCAGGACTGAGATAGAAAAAGTGGTCTGCTAATTTCAACTGTTACTCATAGTAGTCACGTATCCCACACCTTAGACTTTTCCTGTTTGTGCAGATGTAACAAGGTCAAATGTACTTGAGTGATCCAGATGCCCACGAACACTAGTTTTCCTTGATTTGTGTGAACAGGTTAGTATTCTGTCTAAAATAGGTAGGTTTATTGTGAGCTCTCAACAAAGGTTTTGTTAGCTACCTTAGTTGTTTCCATAACAAAACCAAAAATGAAAGGAATATTAAATAAATCCTGAAGAACTGAAGATATAAATACATAGCTCGAGAACAAGTATAACATCAAAGTTTAAAATAGAAACACGAAGTTTGAGACACATACCGCACGTATGTTGTAAATAGATACCATATAATCGAGACAAAATATATTATATAGAAATAAAATATAAAGAGAGTACAAGGAAAAGTCAAATTAATTTGTGTTCATCTATTTATTCTCCCGAAGAAAATAGTCAACTATTCGAAAGCGCTCAAGTTTTGGGTCTCGTTTTGAAAATATTACAACTTTTGTAGGTGATCCTGTGTGCTAACTACTTAACCTGGATCTATTTATAGCATATAGTCAATAGTAAATCGAAAATAACGAACTAAGAACAGTTCACTTAAGGTTAACAAACTGATAAGGTGAATAAATTATAATTGTTAAATCACAACATACTATTCTAGTAAACTAACACTTATCTTACCTACCGGTGAAAATTGTAAGCTTATATTTAGAGACAAAACAAAAAATATTAGAATATTCTTACAAAGAAATGACCTTAGTGATATAAAATTTCTTGGGCGTGGGTTTTCCCTGTGGTAGAACCCTGGATTTTTGGAGCTGGCGAGCCCAATTCAAATCGATGTGGTACCACAAAAAACTCTCCACTCTTTCAGCTCTAGGTGCGTTATAAGAGTGACAGTCGATTCCTTAGTGTGGCTAGTGAGTTGCGGGCTGCTGATGAATAGATGCGTTCCCCCTGTTCAGTAGTTTAAATTTAGGAACGACGACAAATAACGTTGCTGGCTTTGCCATATAAATACAAAATACAAATATACGAAATTTCATTGCAAAGCAATTAAGGAAAAATTAAAATTCAATACACAATCATAAAGAAAATTTATAGTTAAAAAATACTACAAAATACTTCCAAAAACAATAGTGCATAAGCAAGTGACAGATTTCTTTAATAACTATATACTAGCTAAACAGATGTTTTTTTTATTTTATTAATTTTACGCATAAACAGATTTCTTTAATTACTATATACTAACTAAACAGATGTGTTTTATTTTATTAATTTTACGCATAAACAGATTTCTTTAATTACTATATACTAACTAAACAGATGTGTTTTATTTTATTAATTTTACTCATACATTTTCAAAATGAACACGGTTATGACTTCTCAAGTTCAAAAACAGACATGCCGTATTGGGTCAGCGGTACGTTCACAGACTTACAACGCTAAAATTCAGGGTTCGAGTCCCCGCGGTAGACAGAACCCAGACAGCTCATCGTGTAGCTTTGTGTTAAAACGACATCAAAAATAATCGTTTTTACTTAGAAAATCTATGGCGATATTCGTCAGAAATATAATGAATGTTAAAATTAAAACAACAAAAGTTTGGATAAACCACAGCTTATGTCGACTTATGTCTAAACCACAACTTATATCGACTTACGTCTCAACCACCGTTTATATCGACTTATGTCTAAACCACCGTTTATATCGACTTATGTCTGAACCACAGCTTATATCGACTAATGTTTAAAACCACAGCTTATATCGACTTATGTCTAAACCACCGCTTATATCGACTTATGTCTAAACCACCGCTTATATCGACTTATGTCTAAACCACCGCTTATATCGACTTATGTCTAAACCACCGCTTATATCGACTTATGTCTAAACCATAACTTATATCGACTTACGTCTAAACCACAGCTTATATCGACTTATGTCTAAACCACCGCTTATATCGACTTATGTCTAAACCACAACTTATATCGACTTATGTCTAAACCACAACTTATATCGACTTACGTCTAAACCACCGCTTATATCGACTTATGTCTAAACCACAACTTATATCGACTTATGTCTAAACCACAGCTTATATCGACTTATGTCTAAACCACAACTTATATCGACTTATGTCTAAACCACAACTTATATCGACTTATGTCTAAACCACCGCTTATATCGACTTATGTCTAAACCACAACTTGTATCGACTTACGTCTAAACCACAGCTTATATCGACTTACGTCTAAACCACCGCTTATATCGACTTATGTCTAAACCACAGCTTATATCGACTTATGTCTAAACCACAGCTTATGTCGACTTATGTCTAAACCACCGCTTGTATAGACTTATGTCTAAACCACCGCTTATATAGACTTATGTCTAAACCACAGTTTATATTGACATATGTCTTGTGTTAATTTCTTTGCGCGCAAATTACATATTGTCCTAGATTGGTTAAAAAGTCGTGAAGCTGAAAACCTGAACTTTCAGATTAGCATGTTAATTTTGCTTAGTTCTTAGAACTGATAACTTGCGCATACCAAGTTGTTATACACCCCGCTGCAGTGAAATAGAAAATGTTTCATTAAATTACATACAGAAGAAGTTTTCATAATATTGTAGAATTGTATATTGTTTCAATATTTGAAATAATTGGCTATTTCATTGTTGGTCCTAATTTTTACTTAGAATGTTGGAAAGTGACATTAATATTCTAAACGTATGAAAAAATAAAAATTGGACTGAGTGGGATTTCAATATGCGTGAGTGTTAAGAAAACAAGCACCTCTTTATCCTTCTTAACATATATTAAGATGCATGTGTGTTAAGAAAGCAAGCATCTATTTATCCTCCTATTTATCTATTTATTAACATTAAGACGGCTTATCGACTTCTCGAGAAGAATTCTAAGAAGAAAGTAAACCTACAGACATCGGTCTTGTTTAACAAAATCTGCCTACAAGAAAATCTGTCACCAAAGTACACCAACATTATCCTCCTTAATAGATATTAAAAGTTCTGCAGATTACAATTCTGACAAAACTAATAAAGGCTAAGAGTTTTTGTTTTCGAGTAGTTTAAATGAGTTTGGAAGCGTTTCTGTTTTATAGTTTTAGCTTTACTTTTATATAAATAGTTTAATAAAACATTTGGTGTAAATTTCTTGAGGATAAGTCAAATTTAATCGAGTTTGAAAATGTAGAACGCTCCAGCTTAAACTCCTTAACCTGACCGGTTATAAAGTCTTAAAGTTGGAATCTTGTTTGGATCTCATTAATTGAACTGGTTAGAGAGTTTCAAAACTTGGGAGTAACCGCACCTCGATTTAAATTTTTTCTACCTTTTCCCCAAAACTAGTTTCTATTTAAATTCTGCTAAGCTAAAAGAGATGGAATATTACAGCAGCGTCAATTCTTGTGTCTTCTTCCCGTCGTTATTTTGTTTTCGCTGCCATAAAATGAAATTCAAAACGTTTTTAGAAATAAAGGTCAAAGGCGCCGATCAGTATACTGTAGGGGGAGGGTTGGAAACATTACATTTCAATTTGCATTACTATCATATATTGTTTTCCTACCAGAAAAAAATTATACTATTATTGTAATCTAGCTTAAAAATGATAAACGAAATATGTAGTCTTTAAATAATATGTACTAATATTGTAGATGTGCAAGGGTTGAAGGAACCTCTCCTCGCAGTCGGCGCCTATAGTGAAGGCGCCAGAAAGTTCCCAACAGTAACATAATTACAGCACACAAATCTGGTTTTAATCTTTGTTATGTGAATGTAATGAAAGAGAAATGAGATGATTAACAAATACTGTGGCTTTTTTATTTTATATAATGAAATAAATTAAAATGTTTTTATTGAAGTTACAGAATTTCCTATGCAAAAAGATAATACATATTTTCAACACTCAAAACTTCATAAAAATTCATGTTCAACATTTTAGCCGTGGTTGCGCCTATGTTTTCTTTAAGCATTCAGATACATTTTGTACACATAAATAAAACATGTATTTTCTTTAACTACTGTAAGTAGTCTGTTCTTCTATTGTTCACTTAACAAAGTGGTTCAAAAGTTAACTTTAACAGCAACTCTCGTGTATACTATAAATGTTAAAATTATTCAAAATATATTAATTAATTTTTATTCAAAATCTGGAACCAGCTTCCTCTAAGCTTGCCCAAAAACTCAAGGGTTAAAGAAATAAAATTTATTTTTTCAATGCTGTGTCAATTAAAAAAAGTTAAAGTTTTGGTATTACAATTTTTTTTATATATCCCGCTAAAAAAAAAAGAGTTAAAGGTTTTGTGATCACAAAATTTCTTATATATCTCATTAAAAAGAAGTGTTAAAGTTTTGGTAACTCAATTTTTTATATATCCCGCTAAAAAAAAAGAGTTAAAGGTTTTGTGATCAAAAATTTTTTTTATATATCTCATTAAAAAGAAGTGTTAAAGTTTTGGTATCACAATTTTTTTATATATCCCACGGCTCATGGAAGTGTGGTATGCGGTGGCTTAGCGGTAAGCTTGAAGTTTATAACCATAAATCTAGCGTTCGATTCCTCGTGATGGACACAGCGCAGATAGCTTTGCGCCTATCAACAAC